TCCTGCTTCCTCTGGAACATCTGGCACTGGCAACTGTTCAAAATGGGAAATGGGACTAAGTGATCCTTGGGTGTGATGCATTTGGCAATTCCTGATTGCCTAAAACACATTTTGAACCGTAATTTCATTGTTATTCCCTACGAGCAAACAGTTTCTGTGTTTTTTATTACTCAGCTCTCCATTTTAGTCCCATGAGATTTTACCAGCCAGATGCTCTGTGTGTGTGTGTGTGTGTGTGCGTGTGCGTGTGTGTATTTAAGGATCACTTCAGGATTCAGCAGTTTCTATATTAACTCTGGGCTTCTCCTCGGGGACACTGTATTAACTGGAATGGATTTTTTTCCTCTAGCCTCAAGTTCAGCCTCAGTCAGTGAAATCTCAGCCTGGATCTCAGCTCGGACAACTGTCCCAACCACGGCCTCCTCCACAAGGTACAGTTCTTCAGGACTCATGACAGTGGACTGTGAGAAATATCAGTTTGCATTCTAATTAAAAGATCTCAGCATATAGGTTTCACTCATTGTTCCAATTCGCCGACTACTGGGCAGCAAATTCTGTATGCTTTTAAAGCAGCTGCTGCAATATTCCATAGCAGCTCAGAAAGCAGAGTGAAAATCTGATATAGATTCAGCTGATACCGCCGCTAAAGCTTAGCTCAGCAGTGTGAAGCCACTTGAACTGCCACTGGAGCAGGATCCTAGGCAGAGTGTTTGCTTTTGCATGAAGCTGTAGTGGCTACTAATGTTAGGAAGTGATGGGAAGATGCTGTTGCTGTCAGGCCTGGAACAGACACCAAGCAACAGGATGCTTGATCCATCTGTCCAGCTGTTTCCCTGTCAGGAGGAAAAAGCACACTCCCAAGCCCTCCTGACAGCAGAAGCAGGTTTGACTCCTGTGGTCTGGTCTGAACAACCGGTTTGGTTTATTTTCCTGATTTAGGCTGCGGCGAAGATGCGCAGGGCTGCCCAGTAGGTACCCCCAGGCCACACCAAGCATTTCTTTCACATATCCTATTATCCCTTCTCCCACCTCTAGATCCTCCTTTTTGCCACCTTCGTTCCTCCCTTTCTCTGCCCCAGTCTCCTCCCAAATAAACACCCATCCCTAATTACTTTTTCCTCATTGGTGCCAGTTTTGCTATATCCAAAATTTTGTATTTCTCATAATGTCACCTAGGTAATTTTGGCCTTATACAGTATTACTGATATGGTTACCTTGGCAATTTTGGCCTTTCAAGATTTTATTCCCCCAAATGTCCCCAGTACTCCCCTTCAATTCTCTGAAGTTTGGCCATTTCTCACACAATGCCCCCTTGACCAACTCTGAAATCTAGCAGTCCCTCCCAGTGCTAGCTGTAAATTTTGTCAGCTTTTCACACTGATATCTGTCACATCCAGCAATTTCTCACACATCCATGAGTTTTCCTTGTCCTGTTCAGTTAGCCTAACCTCAGGCCAAGGCTTTGTCAGTAGCATAGCCTTTGCTTGCATCTTCAACAGCTAGGACTGAGCTGTGTGATATGACTATTCCTGTCTACTTCCATTTGTCAAGCAAGTAGTGTGTATGGGTACCGTAGTCAAAAAATCTAGTTCAGTCTGTTTTGAGGGTCTGCTACCAAAATGGCTGACGCCACCTGCTGCTAGTACTGCTGGGATAGATGTACACATAGTGATAGGGTGTAGTTTCACATCAAATCACTGGCCCCGTAAAGGGACTGTTGACCCAAACCAGCAGATTCAGCTTCCATTTTCTGCAAAGACAGTTGGTTCTCCAGTGACTCTTCCCACTGCAGGCAGCGCTTGCCAGGGATAAGAAAGATTAGTTACATGGAAGAGTATAGCACCTCGAAGCATCTTCCTCTGGGGAGAGGCGGCAAAGCTTTCTTAGTGCTGAGGGAGGTAGAGAAACTGGCTGCAACAACTCCAGAGATGTGGGTATGAAACCAGTGATGGACCCATAAAAGAGGACTTCCCTTATCCTTCTGCATGATGCTACTCTGAATAGTCTCTTCCCCTATTAAAACCCATTCCTCCATGTAGCTGCTCCTTGTTTGTTGTCCACCACATGCACCTCCTCATATCTACGCATACATGTCTCTTTCAGGTGGACCACGCCAGCCTCAGGGATCTCAGCCTCCACGGACAAGCGCACCACCCCAGCAACGGCTTTCTCCTCAAGGACAGCAGCCCCAGAGTCCCCAGTCCACTTCACCTCAGCAACAAAGGTCACCTGGATCTCCACAGCAAGTCCGATCAGCGACTGGGTCCTCCCCAGTGCAGGCTTCCAAGGCAGGCATCTTTCCACCACAGCAGCCTAGACCTCCTGCTCAAGGCCGGGCCCCTAGCCAGCCAAGCCCCACTGACGTGTCCAAGCAGCAGGCCACTCCACACCCACATCTGAAGTAGGTCTTCTGTTAAACCACTACATCTGCATTTACTAAAATTAGGCTGTCAAAAAAGGACCCTGACCTGGCACAAAGAACACATCACCTGTTGTCAGGCAGGAGTCCCCATGGTCATAGACCTGCGCAACCGAGAGTGACTTCAGAGGTACAAATGCCCGGACATAACGCAGGCCACCACTGAACCGTTTTCAGGAAGAACGAGCAGTACTTTACATCTCTAAGATTTCACGTTCTCCTGCTCATGCACTCATTGTTAATTGTGTACCTTGCCCTTGGTCATATTAACACAGCAACTACCTTCCCAGCAATGTATTTCAGACTGTAATCATCACATTATTGGCCAGAGAGCTTGACAAGAATCATTCCTTCACTATTCTCTGAATGCAGGAGCCACACAACATTCTTTAGTGGACAATTTTCGGCAACTGTTAGCAAAATGGGGCAGGCTAGACATATACGCAGATCACCAGATGGTGACTGCATATTAAAGTATACTGCTGGAACAGAATTTACCAAAATGTAGTGCACCTTTGGTAGCAGCTTTTGCTGACACCCTTGGTGGAGAAGATCTGGCTGTCACCATGGCAAAAAAACTTAGCAAAAAGATGTTTGGTGTTGACAAAAAGTTGGCACAAGAACAAATTGGTATAAACAGGCCAGAACAAAATATAACCTGGAAATTAGAAGACGGTTTCTAGACAGCAGAGGAGTGATACTCTGAAATAGGCTTTCAGTGGTGCTGTCTACCTTAGCAAAGCAAACCAAGAGCAGTGGATTTATAGATCAAAAAGTTGGTGCTAAGGAGTCAGTCTTTACACTATACGTATTTCAGGAAGGTTTATTTCAGAGTCTAGTCTTGTGTTGAATGCCCACTATTGACCAGAAGAAACAACTTGGTGACATGAACAAAAAAAAAAAAAAAAAACTTAGTAAGCATGGACAATCGGGAGATTTATTTCAAAAGCACAGTCCACATCTGAACTAAAACACAAGTGGATATGCACCCCACAGGAGCAGCGGAGCCAACCAGTAGGACTGCATAACACAGCTGATGGTCAGAGCAGGCATGCCAGGTCGGGCAGGCAACAGCACACACTGCAGGGGACGTGGCTACGCGTCTTGTCCAGCCCCTCTTGCTCTCTCATTGGAGGGAAGAGGGCAATCATTCATGGTGTGGCTGATGAGAGAAAGGTGGCCTTCAGTGTGAGTCCTTTCTTCTGTGTTAATAGTGAAATGCCTTAACTGTTTGTCAAAACAGTAGCACCAAATAGCAATTGTATGTTTTTAATCAGTTGTCTTCATAAACCCCTTATCAGCCTGGACTGTGGCTACTGGAGCCACCAGCTCGCTAAAAACTCTTGGATGGCTTAGCATATGGAGATTCCCCTTGCTTAGCCCTCCTTTTATCCTTGAATCTGTCAGTGTGATGGAACACAAAGCATCAGTAATCAGCTTTGAACTTACCTTCTTCTCCTGAGTCTAACTGTCAACTCCCTTTTCCGTTTCAGCAAATCACAGTCCCTGACAAACACCTTCAGCATATCTGAATCATCTCAGCGAGGAAATGCCAATGAAGATGAAGCAAAAGCTGAGACCATCCGCAATCTGAGGAAATCGTTTGCTAGCCTGTTTTCCGACTAATAGCCCTGCAGCCAGATCTGTGCTTTTGTCAGCCTTCACTCTTCATATCAGCCCAACCTGATGTCATCCCAGAATGTAATCGATGCTACCTGGTGATTCACACAAAGATTTCAACTAATACCTGGGTAAAAGGAATTTAGAAACCTATAGTTGTTCTAATTAAAAAAAAAAAAAATCCAGTAACGGTCTGAAAAGTGACTGTATAAAAGTGGCACTATTTCATTGTTCTTTGTGAATACTCAGAATTACATCTGCTCGAATGACTGAGTTGTAAAGCAAATTTTATTCCTGCTAACCCCTGTGGAGTCAACACAGTTATTTATGACAGTGCAAACTAGATTTTATGTTATTTGTATATAGTCAATACAATTGTTAACTTGCAAGTACAGAACCCTTGTTGAGGCTGAGCTAAAAAGAACATAGGCTGATTTCAGAAACAGATTGCAAACATGGTGTTAAGAATAAACATTCATTGACTGATAAACGTGAGCATGCCTGAGCATGGAAACAGCGTGAATTGAACTTCATGATACCAACTTGATAAAAAGTCACTTTTCAGAGCAAAACTCCATTCAAGCAAAATGTGGTACCAGGCGTCAGTAAACGCCAAAGATCACATGAGCAGAGCATCCAGAGGGACTGCAGGTCTGCTCCAGATCTCTCTGCTCATAGCAATTAAAATGTCTCTGTTTCATGCCTTGCATTTATGTTCCCTGCATGTGATTCTTGAGTTCTGAGAGAAAAATGTCACATTCTAACCTTGGAGCCTTAGCTCAAAAATAACCTGAGAAATGGGCCTTCCACACAAAAAAACAACCTCTTCCCCTGCCCTCAGAAACACCACAGAGTTCATATCCACAGTTCACACAAATTCCAGATAAAACCCGGCTCAACTCCAAGTACTTTGGTGACTTGGTCACATCTGGCTAAATGCGCCCCCCGGGAACAAGCACAATTAATAGCAGAGCTGATGAAGTGCACATACCCATGTGCTGAGTGTTCCATAACGCAAAATGGATAGAGAGATGGAGTGAAACCCTGTCTCCCTCCTTGAACTCCCATTGACTTCACAAGGGTGAGTGCAAAATGAATACAAGTTGACAGACCTCTGACAGAACCGAAAACTAGCATTTAGAAATAAGATGAGCCAGGGTAGATCCAGTGACTCCAGGCAATGGGAAAGCAATATATCCATATAAACATGCAGGCGTGTTTAGTTTAAACTGGAAGGCCATGCACATGATTGACCCAAGCAGGTAATGATCAATATTAGATGTCCTCCCTCACCACCCACAGGGATTATTCTTCTGGAGAAGTCAGAGATGGAAGAAAAACAGTATTTCTTTGCCTGCCTTACTTTCCCTCCAAGCCTCTAATACAGAATGGAGTAGCATTTGAGCGCAAACGGGGACTGGGTCGTGGCAAAACCAGGAGTGGCACAAGCTACGTTTGCAATTTAAACAATTTGGTGTAAATCAGTATAGCTATGGCTATTTCCACCTGCTGAGATAATCTAGCCCTTGAACTGTGGTAGTTCTGTTTATAACACACCTAATGAAAACACCAGTTCCCATAGCACCATCTGACAGACATGAGACAGGGCTCTATGAGGAGGCAGGCAAACCTGCTCGATTTTTCCTCAGGCTTTGCCAAGTAGCTTGGTCACAAACCGTGCATACAGTTTCAAAGCCTGACTTTTGGCTTTGTGTCTCCCTCTACAACTCCCCATGGGTTACACTTAGGAGCACCAGTGGACGTAAGTAAGTTAAAAACTTTCCAGCCAATGGCACAGATCTTTGCTGTGACTTAAACAGGGAGATCCTCAAAGCAGCAACAGCAGCATTTGCCATCTCGGATCTTATGATTTACAGATCACGGTGGGAATGAAGCCAAACAAACAATTCCTTCCTGTACAGCACCTGTAATGAACATCTAGATCCAATCTGGACCTAGTATAACCTACCCCTGAACAGGCAGGCCTTTACACATATAATGGCTTTCACGACCTGCGCACTTTCAGGCAAGCAACTTGCACAGCTTTTCCAGGTTGGAAGGCTCTTAAGGGACTCATCTGGATCAATGATTTATATCTCAAGTTCAGTATTAAAGAACCACCTTATTCCCCGATGATTTGTCTTTTTTTTTTTTTAGTCTATGTTGTCCTTCCAGGTTTGCTAAGCAGCTTACAACATAGCATCATAAATAGATGTCATTGTAGGAGAAAGAAAACAGACCCTGCTGTTTTGCAGTCTCCAGGAGCAATAAAAGAGCGACAAATGGCCTTGAGCAAACACTGTCCCACTGGCAAGAACAATAGCAAATTAACAGGCTCCACTATGTGGAGAGGAAGCAATGCAACCCTGGTGGGAGAGGATTTCCTTCTGTAACACTTTCCTCAGCATAACTTATCCCTTTCTCTGCTAAATGTTTGCAGGATACACCAGGGATGCACAGACAAAAAAAAAAGTTGATTACCAGAATCCTCAACTGCGCCAACCCCCAAATGTTACGTCTCTCTTCCTAACGCAATCTACACAAAATTCAAATAAATAACGACTAGGATGGCATAGCTCTTTAAAGCAACCCCAATTAATCACTGAAACCACAACGGTTGGATCACTTGCTGAGGCTGCAGTTGAATACAGCAGGGCTCTCCTCCAACTCACCACTGCAACAGGATAGCACTGTTGACTTGATACCCAGCAGTGACTTAGATCTCCTCAGTCATACATCTGCCTGCAGTGCCCAGCTGTCATCTTTCAAGGGGTAGGCAAACCAAATGGCATCTCCCCTCCCCCCAGCTCCAGCTTGCAAAAACAAGTAAAAGCAAAATTCACTATCAGCTTAACTTGGTTACTCCTATAGCTCCCGAAAAGCATTTTCAGTTATGTCCACAAAAGTGCTTTAAAAGAGCACACTGAACTGAATTCCTAAGTCAAAATAATGAAATTCCATAAAGCGTTTAATGTTGATGAAATGATGTTTCAACAGTACATGCAACTTCAGTGTACACCTATGATCTTCACACATTAGATGTTGTGGCGAGCGGATTCACAAATGCAGTATCAGCTACTTAGGTTGTCGTCTTTGACGCAGGGTTTCTCTTCCAAAATCCCTGCAATCTAACAAAGCAAAAGAGAGAGGGAATACAAGAGGTATAGTCTCCATTTTATGAAAGAGGAACTGAAGTATACCCAAAAGGTATTTAAGTATCAAAATATATCACCTGAAGTTTAGGTGAGGCAGTAAGAAGGCAACAGAGAAGTTGGTAAATTGAAATTACATCTAAATTACAGGGCAGACATGCTTCACAGCATGCCTTAGGGTCTTTATCCCACAGCTCTCAAAATTGAGCACCTGGTCAGAGCACGCTGGGTTTCCCTTTTGTCTTTGCACACTTAAATTTTCGTCACATGGAGACCAGGAAACGTGAATGGGGGAGTGTATTTGGATTCAGCTCAAAGAGCTGGGAAACAGCTAAGACACCCACTCATATCCACCACCTGGAAAACAATTCTCCATTTTACTGTTCAGATATACACTGAAGAACATTTTGACTTTCTTAGAATACCTAGGTGTGGTATTTCAAGAGGTAATATCATTCAAGTTCCCAAGCAGTTAAATGTCTTGTATAAGGTTAAGGCTGAAAATAGCAATCCCGCACTGATAACTGCAGCTGTCCTTTTTTCTCTTTCACCATTCATAAACATAAGACCTTATGCACTGCATATGGCCAGGTTATATAACCTGGCTGTCTAAAGTTTCATTAAAAAAAACAAACAAACAAACAAACGCACGCCAAGGACAACAGTTCCTGATTTCCAGTTGACTGTTAGCAGCAGCCCTAACAGCACTGCCTACAGGCAAGCAGTAAAAGTAAGAAATGACCATTTGCAGGCATTCCATTTTTTGTGGTTTCCTCTTCTGCAGGAGTCACAAAAGACAATGACACATATACCTGCTTTAGGGGGCTGGCAAATTATCAAAATAAGTAGCTAATTTGTAAGCATATTCTCTGTTTTGTCTTCTAATTCTGTACTAAGTTTGGCCATGAGATGTTCACATTGTATTTCATTCTTGTTTTAGGAATTATTAACAAAACTGTTTAGAGAACTGGACAGTTGAGGATAATCAGATTCTTTCAATTGGCTCACAGTGCCTTCACTACAACACAAAGGAACCATGAAAAAAGGGAAGGAATAGCTTCAGGTTCAGTTCATTTCTTGATAAACAAACGTCCAAATGACAAAATACGGTTTAAATAGAAGCTGTGGCATTAGCCTGGGGGAAGAACGACCCAGTTGCCTTCAAGGCAGAAAAGGCCCAACTCCAGAGCAGTGCATACCACACCAGCAGAACAGGCATTGTGGATGTCATCAAGGCACTAGTACCGTGGGGCAGCACTGGTACCAGTGTTACCTGAGATTAACATCTCACACATACATACAGACATCATTGTTCCCAGGAAAAACTTGAAAAGGTAAGGAGAATAAGTTACAAGCAAATTCTTGTACTAATTAAAGTTGTGTACCTTTATGAATAGTATGGATGCATTGCTGAAGCACTCATGACGCTGGCAGAAAGATACAACACCAATGCAGCAGAGATTTTCCTTTTTCAGATCATTGTCAGTGGAATATAAAGAATCACCGTCAGCTAAGAGGCTTGACTATACATTTCACTTAAGTGAAAACTGTATTGGAATAAGGCAATTAAAACCAGTACAGGTAAACGTTAAATTAAGGCAAGTCTTGGTACTGAAGGGGAATTGGTATCCTCAAACTCTACAGAGACATATTCTTAAGTGATTGACAGGATTTGCAGTGGTATCCGTTACTGTGATGCAAGAAGGGAAGAAAGAAATACAGCTTTTGACAGCAAAAAAAAAAAAAAAAAAAAATTTACCCCAACTGGAGCTAATGGCAAAGCTTTCTGACTGAAGTCAGTTGATACAAGACGAGAAGAATCACTGAAATATGACCTGATAAGTATTAAATACAAGCTGTTTTATCAATAACAGGAAATGTCATTCTATTTCCACTATTTGAATTCCAAAGTGATTTTAGAAAATAATTAAATATCAGCTGCCACAACAGTAATCAGTATCATTTACTCTTTCAGAAATACTGAGCTCAATCCATACCAAAAAAAAAAAAAAATAGAAGAAATGAAAAGCTCTAGCAAAATTTAGTCATTCCAGTTTTCCTTTAATTTAGCTTCAGCATCAGACTGCAGATCTCATTAGGACACTTTAACAATGGTCTTGTTAGTTGCTCATTAGTTAATAAGAGAATATTTGTAAGGTGCTGATAACATGCTAAGTCATGTTTCTTTCTGGCAAGATATATTTTGATACTGCAGTAATGGAATTAAACGGAATTTACTGCAGTGAAGTGAGAGCCCGTTCTACTTCTCCTGCTGTAATCCTGTTTCCACTTCAAGCAGGTCAGCCTATTTAGTGCATTAAGTAAGCTAGGCAGGAAGAAAGAATTCTTTTTGCACTAGTTTTAGTTCATACAGAGAAAATGCAGCCCTGTACTACAGCTCCTTCTTTGCAAGGTCAACCTGTCCAAACACGGAGAAAAACAAAAGTTTTACTGCTGGTTCTTCGTAATAGTGCTTCTGTTCAGACTTTTGAGTTGCGCTGTAGCATGAGTTCACTCAGCTGTTTGTAAAATGAACTGGCTTGTGTTCTAATATTTCCACTGAAAAGAATATCCCTTCCCTGTGTTCTTTGTGTATTAAGTATCAACAAAAAATGCTTTTTACCTAATAAAAAATAAAAGGAAAAATAAAAATGTTATCTTTGAAAAGTTTTATGAGCTCAAATCTACCGGTCTAACAGTGGTAGAATCCTATTCTACGTAGAACAGGGTAGAATTTTTTGTTAAGATTATTAGCCAGGTAGAGTAAAAACAAAATCATTTGCACTGGCCAGTTAATAAAATTCTTGAAATAAGACAGACAAATAGAAGATTTGTATTTAAAGTGCTCTTTATCTGATGCAGCAAATATTAGGCCAGTAGACTTCTGGTCTCTAAGCAGCACTTCACAGATGATTAGAGAGAAGGGAGAAAACAGCACAAACTGTTCTAAGTCACAGCTCTTTGTCAAACAGACCTTAGTGTGAGATGGCACAGTACCACCAGAGCATAAACCAACCCAGTCTTTGGAGTCGAGACATAACCACGCACTCATGTTCTTGCCACAATCTGAAGAGAAGGCAGATGTTAGTGCCTGCATTTTGCGATCTCCTGCAGTTAGAAAGCAAGCTCAGAAACCAGAAAACCCACTGAAGGAAAAAGCGGTGGTCAAATGAACGCACGGCGAATGTCCATGGGGCGGCCCCGGCTGGGTCTAGATGGAAACCTGTCACTGGGACCAGCTCGCCCTGGAAGTGTAGGGTTTGCTCCAGGCAAGGAACCAATTGGGTCAAAATGTGGTCTGAACGGAGGAAACTGGCCTGGTGCTTCCCCTGGGCCAGGAATGAGAGAGTTAATTGGGTCTCCAGCATATGGAAGCGTTGGTCTCTCATCATATTCTCCTCCAATGATCATTGGAGGATAAATTGGGTTTGATGGGAATGGGTTGGCAGGAAAGGGATTAGGATAGAATGGGTTGGGATGAAAGGGGATTGGATGAGGTGTAGGGGGCAGAAACATTGTATGCCTCCATCTCAGGATGTCTTTCTTCTGTTTCATTTTTTTCTTGTATAGCTGCAGACAGAAAAAAAAAGGTATTTTAAAGCTCTAGAAGTCCTTTGCGTTCCAACTTCAGTGCTCGCGTTCAGTTCTTCAGCACTTCTCAGAAAAGCTCTCCTCACCAGTCTCAAAGACCAGAATAGTTCCACTGTCTTCCAAAGGCATCCCTGGAAGACACCCCTCCATGATCTGAGCATGCCCTGTGTCACTTTGATACTATTTTCTCCTACTCTGACCAAAGTTACTGCATGTACAGAGAACATCACACTTGTTAAATTTAACTCAATGTCACTGCCACCCAAAGCCTAAGCTTTATCCTCAAATTAGCCCACAGAGACTAATCTCAGAGAGATTATATGAAGTAGCCACCTACTTCTTTCCAGTCTGTGTCACGAGGCCTTGCAATAGGATCTATAAAGAGAAGCAAACATTAAAAAGAGCAATCTCTTATATTCTTAAGTAACATGCATGACAAGGATGCCCACAGCATTTTTGGAAAATTACAGAAGAATCAGGAGATAAAAAATAATTAAAAAAAAAAAAAAACTTTTGAGCAACACATTTCTTGCAGAGAAATCTGCAGCTTAAAAAAAAAATAAAGCTCCAGGACTCTTCAGTAGATAGTTTACTAATAAACCCTGTTCTACACAAAGAATCATCTCCAAGACCTACTCAGTAGGTAGAGAAATTCCAGAAACACTGCCTCCAAAAATTTCTGATTTCTGACAGTGTTTCCATGACCACCTTAGTTCTTCAAAATCTTTTGAGGGATTCTGGCAAGAATACCTTTTCCCTCCACTCCCTGACATCTGCAATAGCCAGCCCACCGAGGCAGCTAGAGAAATAGCTGAAAACAAGAATAGTCTGCACCACATGATGGGCAGATCTCTGTGGTCCATCAGTAATGGCTCAGTAGATTGTCACTAGTTTTCATGGCAAGAAGAGAGCATCCACTTGCATTATGTCTGACCAGCTATACCAGTTAGTATTACAAACGACTGCATTTACTCTCAGTGTTCAAAAAACAGAAGTAGTTGCCTGAGGCACCTCTTACCAAAATCTGTCAGACCTAATCCCTCTGTTCCCACAGAAATGGGATTAAACAAAGCATGCGTTTCAACATTACCTCGAAAATCTCGCAGATATATAAACCTCCACAGAAGTTGGTCATTTGAAGCTGTGTAAAGATCACGGCAAACAGCAGAAAGAGAGATGAGCGAACGGACATCCAGAAGTCTGAAAATCCGTAGCTTCAGCTCAAGAGGAAGGACCACTAACCCAAACACGTCTGGCAAGTTCAGAGCTACAAAGTGGAAGAAACAGAAGCATTACCTATAATGGTATAGGGTTTACTCTATCCCTAAAAACCCTAGAAGAAGCAAAGGATATTACAGTCTTTCCCTTAAGTCATTTCCCTTTGATGCCTCACTTGGCAAGTACTGTGAGGAAGACTCATAAAACAGATCTCTGGCAGCTCTCAGTACATTTGTGGAATGCATAAAACAGGCCAAGAGGCACTTTATAATTAACACTATCGGTCCTTGTAAGTACAAGAAACACCCCAAAACTCTAACCATGCTCTCTATGCTACAGAACAAAGGCTGGAAGAGATAAAGAAACCCTGCCCAATTTCATTAGTCCTTGAAAAACGCATTAGATGCGAAGCATATGTTTCACATAGAAGCTCTTCACAATGAAGTCCAGAAGGAATTCAAATGAGTTGTCTTCAGCATAGAAAGCCGAGATCTTTTATGGCAATACCTATGCAGGGAAAGCTGGACTTCCTACTGCTTCACAAACACCAGCTTTGGTTGCTTCCCATCCTCTCCAAGCCCTCAATGACCAATTACTAAGAACATAATTCATGGGGGTTAGATTCCCAAACATGTATTTTTTTCCTGTATTTTTCAAATACTGAAATTTTTCTACATTGACAGAAATGGATCAAAACTACAGAACTGCTGCCATAAAATTATTGTACTACGATTTTCCTCAACACCAGGTGTGGAAAACAGCCACGCTACTTCAGTCTGTCAAGCGAGAACAGAGAGCGCTTTTCATCGTGAGCGATCAAAATTAAGAACTGGAACTTATCATTACAGTAAAACTTCTGAAACAGGAAGATTAATCTAATTTCTTTAGAATGTACATATTACTTTAGTCTTACTCCTTATGTACCCCAGCACTCAACAGCTGTTTCTAACACTTTCCCCTTGAGATTTTGCACAGAAAACTCTTTCCATACTCAGAAAAGAACTGCCAGCTCAAATTCTAAATACTTTCTCTCACCTTGTCGGGCAGCAGCCAGAAGAGAGTACACCAGCTGGTCTTTAAAGAGACGGGATAACTTCTGAAGGTCTTTGTAAACACCTGCAACCTTTTCTATCAAAACAGGGAGGCAAAAAGCTTAATTTCAGGAGGTTATGAAAAAATTATGCAAGAGCAGAGAGACTGTCGTTTTCTTACAAGCAGAACTAATTTGCATGAGGGAGGAAGGAAGTCTCTGTTTTCTATCTGGGCTTAAAATATCTTAGTAGCTCTCTTGATTGGACGAGGTCTGCAGTTCTAGAATCATAATCATGGAGTAAGAAGCAAGAAACTACAGACTTTCTTTCAGCAAGAAACTACAGACCAGTTCCATGGTCAGAAGTACCTCAGGGCTTTCCTTTGGCCATAAAAAGCACCATTAAGAGAAATACTTGAGTTGTTCAGAAATAAACTGGCTCTCATGCTGTCAGAACGTCTTTTATCAGATTTCAAAGCCCACGTGTAACGTGCACCTACGTTGTAAACTCCTGAAATACAAATTCTTCCAACAGGAAAGTTTTTCCGTTCTGCTCACTGAAGTGGCAGGAGCCAGAAGGTTCCACTGTTATCTTGGACACGTTTCAATGCTCAGTTATTCTACAGCCTTTTTACTAGCCCTGCACACCAGCAATCAGGACACAGTGAAGGAAAACAAGTCAGCATCAACTGGCAACAAAGCAATTCATACATACTTCAGAGAACAAAAGGCTAGTCAGGTCTATGTTCACAAAGGATCCATATCCATCTGCCCTTCTCTCCTCCCCCTGCCTTGGTTTTCCTCTCATTTTGGTGTTCTGGAGGGAGTTATGTGGCCAGCACATACTTTCCAATGAAAAAAATAGAACTACTATGGTGCCATAACAAGAGTGCAGGTACTATTAGCCTAATTCCTGGACTATCACGCAAAAGGAGGGCATAATCCTGCTTTGCTGCCTCAGAGATTCACACATATACTTAGAAGCTCATAAATAACAGGCATATGAGCCAAAAGATGACTCAGACTTTACAAGCTTCTTCCCTTACTCAGCTAATCCAGGAAATTCAAACTGGTTTAACAGCTAAATGCAAGTTAATGGCTACACTCTGAATTCCTTTTACCATAAAGTTATGTCTCACCTAAATGGTAACCACATTATTACTCTTCTTTTGTTATCTTAAATGATTCAGTCCTCTGCCTGAGTATATCCTTCCCTATTGTGCCACTCCCTTACTTTTCGGTCTACTATTATGAGTATTATAGCTCAATCATACCTGGTTCCTGAAAGCAAACAAAGGATGCTGGCAATAGCTGTATTCTCTTCACACCTTTAATCTCTTTGTTGATTTTTAAAGTTCCTGCAAATATAAGAAAGAGACATTTAAAAATTAAAAGTCATACTGACAGATAACAAAGATCACTTCATTACTGCCTTATTCTCAGGGGTATTTTATTTTCTTCCCTCACTAGCCCCCTCAAAGAGAAATATCCAACTATATCAAGCAGCTAGACAAGTACAGTTTTTTAAAAAAAAAAAAAAAAAACCACAGTGGAACTTAAAATACCAGAGAAGAAACAAAGATCTTGCTGACAGATCTTGCTGACAAAAACCTCGTATTGCCTTCAACAGAAAAGAGATGTAATACAGCTAAAAGTGATACACAGAGAGCCATTATTATAATCAAGTCATTAAAGAAACATTAACTCCAGCACTTGAAGCTCTACTGAAAGACTGAACAATCTTATTATATGAACGCTATATGCACGGTAATTATAAAACTGTCTGAAATTTAACCTTAACCTGACTTGGTTAAGCATTTCATCCTAATTTTAGAAAGCAAACCGTGCACGTGTTCCGAGAAAATATATGTGCTTATACATATTGGCATAATCGGCTACAAGTTTTACAAATAGACCTATAAACTTTAATAAAATGATATCCTGACATTAGAATCGAGTCACAGTTTAATACTGGTTCTGCTGAGGTACTGGGTAAACAGTAAATAAAATAAGAAAAGAGTGATATAGAAGTTGCTTCAAAAAAATTAGACTTCCCTAAACTATTTAGTTAAAACTTCTCAATCCAAAAAACAGGGTTTGAGATCACAGTTAGAGGTATTGTTCATGTGCTTCAGGAAAGACAGGAAAGATTATACATTAAAACTAAAGAACACCTATTCTATAAGTTGTTTATAAGTATCGCAAAGAACATGAGACAAGACAAAATACTGTAGTGGAGCAAATCTACCTATTTTAGTATTTGGCAATGTACATCACAGTTCCTATGAAATGAGAAAAGAAAGATTTTTACAACACTCCAATGAAAAGGCCATCTGAATCCTCCAGGCATTGCTCTGTACTGCTTTGAGAGAGAGAAAAAGTTAACACAGAGATAAAGGAACACCAAGAATATTCAGTGTCATGTAGCGGTATCTCTTTCACCTCAGTAACCTGGACAATCAAGGTGCATTCTAAACAATTCATTTCAGTTTCACTTTCTAAAGAATAATGAAATTGAGCAAAGTGTATCTAGGCTAAAAATATGACTAGCTTACCATTAATGGCAACAAGATCTCCCAAAGGCACACAAGTCAAACCAGCAGTACCTTCTTCGCAAAGGGGATGCGTGTACTGTAGTTTATAAACACCACTCCCTCTCCATTTCTCTGGCATAGACACTGCCTTGGCTTCTGTCCCCTAGAAGTACAGAGATCACACTGCCATACCTGAGCAATGTACCAAGACTGAGGGCAAAAAAGGATTAAAAGTTCAGAAATGCCAAAATTACACTTTCAATTTAAATTTTAATTGAATCCAACTGTGCATTATAATACATACCATAATTGCATGATTATATTACATACCATAATTGCATGATTATATACTATTTCTCCCCATGCCTTAGAGCAAATCTAAGGAGAAATTCAGGAATCCTGTGTTCTGTTCTAGTGTCTGACAGGGAAGGTCATTCATTGGACAGACTTAAGACCACTTCTTTGAAAACTGTACTTCATTCTGTCTTTTCATTCCAGCATGCTGGTAATTCCTGAACGTACATGAATTCGCCGCATGAAAAACACACCAGAGCTTGAAGAATCATAGTTTGAAATCCATTTGGAAATCTGAGTGGACTAACGCTTCTTCCTTTCAATTTCAATATGAGAACCCCCCAGCTGGAATCCTATATGGGACAGACTCCCTTCGTTTCCTCATAAATTTTCACAACAATCTGCTTCCCTACTTCCAAGACTGGTGATCGACATAAACTAAAACTTTCTTCCCAGTGGCAAACATGTTCGTCAGATAATATTTCAGGCCATGGGAATGCAATTAAGTTAGCACATTTATTAAATTGGTATTGGTCAACAGGACACCTAAACTGACCCCATGTCCTTAGTCAGCCTCACTGCAAGGAAAAACATGAGAATTTAAACCGCTTTCACTGACAGCAGGTCTTTTTCAGCATGTTCAGTCATTATGCAGTAAACACGTAACATAGGTCTCAAAATCTAAAGGGAAAAGTTGAATTCATACACTGCATATAGATAATGCTGTAGGGGCTTGAGTATGAGTTAGAAATCTACCTAGGTTAGTGGAACTAGGCGCCTAACTGAACTCTGTTGAAGCTAATAAGAGTTAGATGACAATACTGTGGCAAACCTAGGCCTTGTTTGAGCTGGATACCACTGAGACGATATTGATGTTGAAGGCAGTACTGCAAAGAAGTGACTCGTTATTATGGATCCTGTATGCACAAGAATAACTCCTTATTTCAACTTACCGAACAGGTATTAACATAAAACATTGCTGTGAAACATGTATTTTTATAGAGTTTTGTTTTTTTGTTTTGTTTTTTTACAGTAAGATGAGGAAAGGACAAGGGAAAGTATGTTTTCATAACATGGGAGAGGTACAAGTGTACTTACACAGTTAGTTCAGTACAGAAGTACTGAATACACGTACTCCCTGCTCCTAGATCTGAACCTAAACAATATCTGTATAATCTCATCAGTAGATAGCAGAAGTGGGAGGTTATCAGCTGGGTCCCAGAGATGCTGAAGACAAAGAATCACAGAGACAGGCCTCTCCTCCCATACCTAAACGCCGCTCTAGTCTTTAGCCTTAAGTCATACTGGTCAGGCAAATCAGAGAAGCTGATACTTCCGCAGCCCCTGCTGCTGACCGACATACACACAGCCAGAAGTGGCGTTTCAGGTGTTTTGCACTGTATGTTCTCATGACATTCCAAAGTTTTCTCCTACTGACCAAGAAGTTTCCTGTCTGGTTATGCACTTACCTGAGGTACATAGCCTGTCTCCATCATGAGAAGATGTACTAGAACAATCAAGGCATCAGTGGCACTGGTACACTCAGCAGAATGGTAGAGCATTTCTAAGGAATGCGGTATTTCACCATCAGCAGCTTCACTGCACAGCATTGGTTCAGAGGGATAGGAACCTGTACCTTCTTCCAGATCAACGTCTTCTGGGACTAAACCAGAAGCAAATTCTAGGCTGGATCTTGCCTTAAAGGGTAGCAAAAACACATGTTCATTCAGAAAACTGCATCCCTATATACATTAGTTAGTCCTCTGCCTACTCCAGTCTTCAGAAGCACCAAGTCTACGCTACAGATTTCCTATGCAATTTTCAGGCTCATTTCATCTCCATTTCCTAGTACCCCAGCTGTAAACAGGGATTACATACATAGCCTTTGTCTTTTTTGAATATTTATAATGCAAGCCCTTCATAAAAGGGTCTGTCATTTTATTGCATATACTACTTCAATATAAACTGATAACAATATATTAAAACTTCAGGAGGAGAATTCGCTCAACACATACAGGAATAATCTATTCACTGTGGTACCACCATTTATTTAAGCTGAGCCAACACGCGTGGCAAGTACCAAAAATTGTAACTCAGGTTCCTTATGAACAGAATAGATTTAAATAGCTGGAAAAAAAAAATCAAAAGAGTATTTACTGAGACTTGAAGACGATGGTGACTTTATTATGGCTTCCTTTCTTCTACCAAAAATCACATCATATTATTACGTAATTTACTCTATTGTTACACGTTCCCATTAAACTACTTAGACCCACACTAAAAAAAAAACAAAAAACCCTAGCAAATTAAAACCATGGGCGGATCTACCTGAAGGAAGGGGCAGGAAAGGGAGGAAGAAGCTAAAGGAGCTGTAGCTACTTCTCCCTCACATCCACCCTCAATGGCACAATGCACCCTCATGTCTGTATGAGGCCGGTGTAGCCAACCATCTGTGGAACTTCCCTTCTCTCATTAACAGCATTGCACGTAGCCCCAACACAGTTTTTCAGATTTCTAGAGGGTTTTTTTTTTTTTAAATACCACTTAGTTGCTTGGAAATTTTTCTGCTATCTTTCATCACAATTTTGGAATAAAACCTGAGAATTTTTCATCTTGCCTCCAAATAATTAGATAAACGCACAACAAATTCCTGCACAGTTTAATATGGTCCAATTGGCAGACACAAGCAGCTTGCCTGCCTACAGCACCATGTGAGGGCTATTTCTCCTGATAGGAATGAAGAGGACGATGGTCCCACTACGTTCTCTTTCACGACTGACAATTCTTTTCACTTTATATTTTATTTTCATACTTCAAAAGAGTATTTTTAAAAGTATACATATCAAAATTCCTCATATAAAGGTTGTACTAAGGGATATTTTGTATATGAAATTAGTTCCAAAACACAGAACTACTTGCTTCCAAAGAATGCAGGAAAACAACTTCTCAGAGTCGCAAGCTCCTCCCTAAAAGGACAGGATCCTGTACCAAGATACGCCATGGCACTAGGCTGTACCCACAGAGTCTCCTCTAGAAAGACTCCTTCCTAGACTAACTCCTTCCAGTAGTTGGTAAGAGCTATTATCTGCTTAACTACTGTGTCTGTTGTCAAACAGGAAAAATCTTAACAAAGCATCCAAAAGATGTGCCTTTCAGCTGCACCAGGAACGTGGGGTCACACAGATGTATATCTGTGAAGCATGAGGTGGGAGCTATTTCAGCAACCCAAACTTCATGCAGAACCAGACAGGTCTCTTGCTCTACGATAGGCCCCTGACTCACAGGGAACTGTTATAACTATTAGAAAGGAATCATGCACTTATCTAGTGAGTGGAATTTCAGACAGGCTGTACTTATTTGGTATCTAGAATCAGTTTTCTCAAGAAGACAGCACTGAGGTAGGCAAGAGACATATTCCTAACTTCCTTAAGAAAAGTGCATGTTCCAGCAAAAACATACAGTCCTGTAAAAGTGTCAAATCTGAAACATCTCAGAGCTGCTGAATTAACTTCTATGGCATAGCTAAAAAAAAGAGAGACAAATTTACAGCCAACCAACCACCTATACTTCAGGCAAACATTAAGAATCAAATATTCTGAAAAGGTTCTCTACTATGAAGTACAGCAACCGACACAGTAAGATACCTCCTTTCTTGTCCTGTGTCGTACAGGTCAAATTCTCAGACTTACCATATCATCACTTTTTTGAACTTCTGCCTGAGCCTTCTGGCTGTCAGGTAGCCCATTCTGCCTTTCTTCTTTTGGGCTGCTGGCCTGACTTTTGTTGGGGATCAAGGCGGACGGTTCATGACCATTCTGGAGTGGCGGAGGAGTAGAAGATGAGGGAGGAGGTAGGCTGGGTTTTGCATCTGCTTCTTCTAGTAATAAACATATCAAATCACCAGAAACAATCCCATATGAAGCCAAGGTCTTCTGGTCTTCTGTGAGAGCATCCTTGTTGTTCAGTGTAATTGAAAACTGCGCGTCATAACTGGAAAGTAATGGAAAAGAAATAAAGTGTGGTTAGCTGCATCTGGGTAACTGAACACAGGTATTGAAATGTAGAATTAGAATTAGAAATGTATATTGCATACTGCTTAAGTACTGTTCCACAGGTTTTAATCCATTAAAAATTAGCTATACACTTAAAGGAAGAGCAGGGAAAAACTAAGGGTTATGCTATGAAGTGATTCCCTCATTTTTCTCTCCAAGCGTGTTTTAAATAACTGAAGTTGCTTAGTGGGTATAACTTCATCTGCAATAACCGCTCATAAAACAGATATGAAGGAAAGCAAACAGGTGCCTTCCAAATTAAACATATTCAACCTAATAAAACAAGTGTTAAATAAACCACTGACTCAGATCACTTAAAAACAGGACACTATTGCAGATTCAAATCACCTTGCTTTCCGATTAACAAAACATTTGCTTCAAAAGGTCAGCAGCTGCCCTCCAGCATGGCAATTACAGATGTGGGCAGTAAGAAAAGCTGCTTCAGCGCAAGCAATTACAAAAAAATAAAATAAACATGAACGTGGTTAGCATGAAAACCGTTATCAAGTACCAACTACAAAAATATACCCAGCACGGCAGGACGTACAATAACTCCAGCCTACGGTGGTATGCTGTACAGTGCAGTGCCATCGAATGTACGTACTGCCAATGAAACATGAGTTTCATCCTCATACCCGGTGACAGATTTGTGACTACAAACTGTTTCCACGCTACTAGAAAAGGAGTTTCTTCTGTAGGCAGCTCTTCCATTACCTTAACAGGTTTTATCCTCCTATAAACGTTGTCATGAGTTCTTCACACGTAAAAAACCTTTTATGAAGTCTAAACCCAGAGAGCCTCTAAGAAAGCCACAAAACTGTAAAACAGACACCCAGCCGCAACTCTTTGTAACATCAGCGCCACCGAGCACTACAAGCCACCTCCGGCCGACCGCGTTTCAAGGGCGGGCACGGGCCGAAGCGCGCTGCGCGTGCCGGAGCGACCGTTAACGCTCGGCAACCGAAACGTAACTGAAGTTTCCGTGACCTACCAGCCCTACCAGCCCTGTGCTACCCGGGGAAAACGCAGCTGGAAGGTGTGCCCGAAGGAGGGCAGTGACTTTTACCAAGTGCTCTGTGAGCTTTAGCAGCCTTCGACACGGTCTCGCGAAGTGACTAAAACCCCCGGAGCTGCAGGCCTTTAACCTCACG